ACTCACTGGACTCCTGCAGTGAAAGGCGATGATCTCCAGCACTGAGTTCTCCTCGCAGCTGTCCACGGAGGCCAGGTCATACAGTGATGTCTGGACAGGCCCATAACACCACTCAGTAAATTTTCTGGAAAGGGCCTGGCATGGCCCTGAGAACTCCCTTTGCAGGATGTGCTTGAAAATCTGCAAGGTGACCACAGGAGTTTGCTGGCTGGCAGGGCCTTTCCCAGCTCTGATGCGGGGCCAAGGCCAGGAAGCTGCCAGCACCCTGTGGGGCTGCCCAGCAGCAGCACTACTGGGTCAGAGCTGCAGCGGCCTGGTGTCAGGGCCCTGTACTCGGGTCCTTGTGAGCCTAAGCTGGCAAGTCCATCTGCACGTGCTCAGCCAACAGGGCAGGTGCTTTTGCTCAGCCTCCCGCAGAGGTGATCCTGCTGCCTCGACTTCCCAAGTAGCCATGATGACACATTTACACCACCCACTCAGCTCACACTTACACTTTGTACCTAAAAATCTTCCACAAAAAACAAAATTTTAGGGCTGGCAAGATATCTCGGTGGACTAAGCACTTGCTTAGGTGAAGTGCAGAGACTGGGATTTGATCCCCAACACCACTTGCTGCGCGGGAGTATGCCAGGTATTTTGTCAGATAAACACAAAACTAACACAGAGATACAGAATGGAAATGTGCTTACTAGCAGGGCTGTTATCTCAAAAAATAGAGACACCAGCCACCTGCCCTCCTGCCTTCCTGCCCTCCTGCCCTCCTGCAGAAATTTTGAGGTGAGTCTGCCTGCTGCCTGGAGAAGGGGGATCGTGGCTCACCTCAGTTTTGCCCTCCTTGGCAGCCAGCTTCAAGGGCGTGAGACCCTGCAGGTTTTGGATGTCCTCCAGCTGCACAGTGGGGCAGAGGCGGGCCCCTGCCTTCAGCAGTGCATCATACATGTGGACCACCTGTTTGGTGTTCTCCTCAGAGTTGTCTGCAATCATCACCAGGGAGTGCAGAACAGTGTTGCCCAGGGAGTCAGCAGCTTGCAGGTTGGCGGGCTGGTACGGGTTCTCCAGGAGATAGCTCACCACATCCCACTGCCTGGTGCACGCAGCCAGAGAGAGGGGCAGCTCACCTGTGGGCCAAAGGAGCAGCCTGGGCCTTGGGCATCTGAGCTTCCAATGCCTTCTCTTCCTGCTTCTGTGGTGGAAGGCCAGGCCTCTGGGAAGTGACTCAGGCCACCTCACTGCCTGAACATACAGAACTCGTCCCCTGGCTCCTGCTCTTCTTTGACAAAACACTGGCACATTGCCTGTGTATTCAGCCTCTGCCTTACTGAATGCTTAGCTTTATCCAGGGCTAGGTATGCAACCCAGGACCTTTGTTTCAATATGCTAAGAGGTTCTTTACACCGGAGCAGCACCCCACCTCCCTCGTCAACATCTAGCATCGCCCCCAGCCCCAACCCAGCTCTGCTGAGCCTTCTTGATCAAGTAGGATAAAAGCATTTCTGAGACAAATTGCTTTCTGAGGCAGCCTAGTAATTAGAAGCTGGGTGTCAAGGGCAAGCCAGCCTGGGTTTAAGTGCTGACTCTTCCACACATTAACTGTGTGACTTTGGACAAGGCCTTCATTCTGGTTTATGGCTAGATCTCCCCAAAAAGTCCCATGTGCTCCTAGGTGGGGCTTTTGGAAGGGGACTGGATTATGGGGCTTTATAGCTGACTTCCTGTTAGGAGGCAGGATCTGATCCAGTGAGCTAGTTCCCTGGGGGCGTGGCCTGGTTTAGTCTCTTCCTCTTCCTGTTGATCTCTCTCCGCTTCCCACCAACAGGCCATGAGCTATTGTCTCTCTGAGGTGCCCCTTTGTCATGCTGCCCTGCCTTGAAGCCAGCCAACTATGAACTGAAACCTCTACAAACTGAGTTTCAAAGTAAACTTTTCCTCCCATGCACCTCTGTGCACCCCTATAATCCTAGCACTCAGGAGGCTGAGACCAGATGATCATCGAGACTTCGAAGACCAGCCTAGATTGTAAAGTGAGCCCAGGCCAGCCTAGACTGCATAACAAGACCCTGTCTCAAAAAGACAAAATAATAATGAATTAAAAACAAACCTTTCCTCCTTTATTGTGGATGTCAGGTATTGTGTCTTAGCAAGAAAGCTTTGTTTCTCCAACAAGAGCTCACTTGGATTGGTGACCTAGCTCAGGACTAAAGCTCCCGCTCAGGAACGCTTAGGCAAGCACAGGGGCCACAGTTTGATCCTCGACATCACATGCCATGCCAGCCCCGCCCCCAGGGCAGCCAGAGCTGGCCAGAGACTGGTTGTGGTGGCACATGCCTGTAATCCCAGTGCTGGGGGATCTGAAAGGAGGATCAGGGCCAGGGAGATGGCTCAGTAGGATAAGCGCTTCCCTGAAAGGAGGATCACTACAAGTCTGAGCTGTGTAGTGAGACCCTGCAACAACCAAATACATTCAAAAGAGCTCACTCACCAAAATAGAAGCAAGTTCCCTGCCCATTCTGGAAGAAGCGTCCACAAGCCCGGGCATGCACATCGGCTCCATTTTCCACCAGGAGCTTGACACACTGCAGGCTCCTCTTCTCAATGGCAATGTGCAGGGCGCTGTGACCTTGGTAGTACTCATCTGTGCACTGGGCATTGACCAGTGGCCGGGGGTTGCCGGAGTCTCTGTCGATCTGCAGCAGTGGCAGGACGCAGGCGTTGACCCCATCCTGAAGGGTCAGCACTGCCTTCATCAGGCACGTCTTGCCCGTGGAGCCCTCTGTGGGAGAAGGGAGGAGAGAGCGGGCACTGCAGTGCTCAGACCTGGAGCGGCTGGGGACCCATCAGCTTCTGCACCAAGCCCACGCCCCAGTACCCCTTCAGAGTTTAAAAAGCATTCCTGCTCATGTGAATTGTGGGAGCACAGCCACTCTTGTACATCAGTTACCTAAGCGCTCGGTTCTTAGCATTGCTACATTTGCTCTAATTTTCTCTCATATGCATTTTTGCACAGATGTCCTTCTTACCTCTTTCCAGTTCAGAGTTGAATTCCTAAGAATAAGGATGTCTTCTTACATACAACTGTAGTAGACTTATAAAATTTAGGAGTTATAGCTTTCATCACTTGGCATCTCTTAACCTCAGCTTTCCTCTTTGAAAAAAATGAGAATATGCCAGGGTTCTATAGAGATCCAAGGGTACAGCACGGAGCAAGTTGGTATCCAAGATTACAAACAGTGCACAAGGCTATTGAAAAATGATTAATTAACTACTAGGGAACATCTACACTATGGAAAGGTTACTCTGAAGTCAGAAATGTGTACTGTACTGAAATAAGAAGTGTTGCAAGAAGGGCTGGTGAGATAGTTCAGTGGACTAAGTGCCTGCTTAGGCAAGCGCATTGACCAGGATATGATCCCTGGCACCACATGCCATGCCAGCCCTGTCCCTGAGCATACTTAGCCAGCCACCGGGCCCATGTGTGGTGGCACACACCTGTAATCCCAATGCTGGAGAGGCTGAAAGCAGGAGAATCACTATGTGCCCAAGCTGTGTAGAGACCCTGTATCAAATGCATTAAAAAAAAAAAAAAAGTGCTTCTAGATGTGTGAAATGTTGCTAGGCATGGTAGCACATGCCTGTAATCCCAGCACCTGGAAGGCTGAGTCAGGAGCATTGCCATGAATTGGAGACCAGCCTGGGCTCAGTAGTGAGTTCAAGACAGCCTGAACTACACAGGGAGACAATTTCTCTAATAACAAATATACAAAAAAAAGAAACCTGAGCTATTAAGGTGTAAGCACATTAAAGGCAAACCATATACCATTTATTTAAACATATATCTAGTGTACTAAGAATTCTGAAAAGTTGTATCCCTAACCATTAAAGAGCTGTGTTTACCCTGAGCTTTATAAATTTCCTTGGTATTCAGATTGGTCAGGGTATATACATGTTTCTAACTAGGACAAATCATAGTGAGAGACATTTTGGGCATAGATACTCTGAGATCAGTGAAGTGTATTATATGTCAGTTATAGAGCTCAATAATGCTACTTGTTAGTAACGAGAGACAGACAGACAGACAGACAGACAGACAAGACAGACAGACAGACAGAGAGACAGAACCAGCACTTAGACCATCAGTGTAGCAAACACCATGGGGTAGGTGTGGCACAGGCAGGCTTTGTGGAAGCAAGAGACACAGCCAAGAATGCCAGGAGCTGGGGCTATGCTGGCTCATTCCCATTTGCACCACCCTACCCCACCAGAGCCACCCCAGCAGGAGGGTTGCTAAGAGGCTGGACTCTGCTCTGACCATTGCTCTGGCCCACCCACTCAGCCACGTCTCAGACAACAGGGTGCAGGTCACGAAGGACATCACCCAGCAGGGGCTACCTGTGTACTCCGAGTCGGTGAGGTACTTGCTGGTCCGGCGCAGGTACTCTGGTAGCCCAGCCAGATCCTCAGGAGCACCCCGGGAGACAGCACTGAAGAGGCGGTCACGGTCAAAGCGGTTGGGGTCCTGCTGGCTGCAAGGGTGTAGTTTGTGACTCACATTGGAGGAGGACCACAGCCACTATCACCAGGAAGCTTCCCATCCCAGGAGTCCTTCCAGGGAGCCCAAAAACACCGCCCCTTCCAGGGGAGCCCTGAGCCTTCTGCCTCTAAGGCACATCCAGGAAACCCCAAGCGCTCTGAGCCCCAGAAGGAGGGGGGGGGGGGGCTGTCAGAGCATTGCTGTGCCTTGTCCTCTTTTTTTTTTTTTTTTTTTTTTAATCAAGAAAAAGTTTATTGAGCTCGTGTCTTTGGTAATTCTGCATTGGCTCAGTTCTGGAGAACATGGCGGATGGCAATATCGTCTTCTTGACTTTGGTCTCCAAGGTGAGTTTCAGCACCCAGTGCTTTTCATTTGCCAAGTGCCCTGAGCCTTCAGATACTTTGTCCCATGGGGTCTCTTCAGCACTCATGTTATGGTGGATCTTGAAGTTTGTTTTTGTGTTGTGGAGCTCAAACCCAGTGGTGCTCTACCACTAAGCTAAGTCCAAAGCCCTTTTATTTTTAATTTTGAGACACGGTATGCTAAATTTACCAGCTTGGCCTCAAACTTTAATCTTGCTTGGCCTCTCAAGGAGCTAAAATTACCTGTGCCACCATGCTTGGCTGCCCTTGACTCAGACAAGGTTTCAGGAGGTACCTGAGCTGAGGGAGGCTCCAGGTACCACAGACTCAAAGAAAAAGTGGAGAAGGGGATGGGGATCTCAGTATGTAGATCTTCCCTAAATGTGGACAGCCCTGGGTTTAATCCCCAACACACACACACACACACACACACACACACACACACACACACACTGAAATGGAGGTGAGGATGGAGACAGAGAAAGAAGGGAAAGGGAAGGGAGGGGAAGGACAAGGAGGAGAGGGAGAGATAGGACAGTGGAAGCAAGGAAGGAAAAAAGTGGAAACAACTGTAAAAAAGAAAGAAAGGAGGAAAGAGAAAAAGAAAGAAAAAAGTGAGAGAGAGACAGAAAGAAAGAAAAGAAAAGAAAAGAAAAGAAAAGAAAAGAAAAGAAAAGAAAAGAAAAGAAAAAAGAAAAGAAAAGGAGCAACCCACATAGCATAGAAGAACCCTCAGGAGCTAAGAGGTGTGAAAGTGCACTAGTGCTTGGTGGGAACTGGCAGCGTGGCTCCCTTGACCTCTCCCCTTCTGCTGCCTCACCTGGCATCAGCCTTCTTCCGGTAGTTGAGGTTCACTCTGATCTGAGGGGAGGAGTTCCGGTCCTCACCCTGAAATGGTGACTCCATGGGGGGTGGCCCAGGCTGGCCTTTGTCCCCATCAGTGCCACCTTCTTGGTCTCCATCTGATATCTCCAGCCTAAAAGCTGGGGGGCTGGAAGGCGATGTCATCCCAAAGGGAAGAGGCTGCTCAATCCACCTAGAGCCTCTGTGCAGATGGAGATGTCAGGGGTCCCTTCTTTCTCCCTGTCCCAGATGAGGAAAGGACTGGCTGGGCCTGTGGAAAGAGACATTGAGAAGTGGGGAACAAATCAATCCATCACCATAGAGGAGCCCTGGAGGATAGACAGGCAGGGAAGTGAGCCGTGAGAAAGGCGGTCAGAGGGCAGGGAGCTCTGTGGTATGAGGATGGCCCTGTGTGCTGGAAGGGAGAGCTCCCGGGACCAACTGGGGCTGCCTCTGTGATGTTTTCCCCACAGGAGACCCAGGATTCTTCCCAGCTTTCCCTCTGCAACTTCCTGATATCTGAGAGACCACAGCCCTTGTGCAGAGCCAATAAACATTTAGGTTCACAGCAGAACACTCTACACGTCTTGCCCTGTGTCCAATATTCCAGCCACATGCAGTTGCTGGGCAGGGGCAGGCCACTCAAGCATCCACTAAGGAAGACACTATCTCTGGGGAAACCACCAGGAAAGCCACTGCCCATCCAGCCCTTCATTTCACTGCCAGGACAACTGAAAGGGGAAATGGTTGTCTCAAGTCATTAGTTGCTGGCAGAGCCAGGTCTACAAACATCTCGCTCTACCCCAGGGCATTTCTCTTCAGTTCTCAGAGTCTCCCAGGGCCACTCTGTATTTTCGGTCTGTCTCTCATGTCTGAGGGCTTGGACACCACCTTCCTGGGCCTTCTGAGTAGGGTAGCTTGGTCTTCCCTGGCTGCCAAGCCTCATCTGCTGCTCCCCTCAGCCCCAGGCTGGGCTCAGGAGGTCAGCTGATGGCACCACCTCACTCTCACAGGAAAACTGAAACCACAGCCTCTATCACCTGGTGAGGGTTGGGGTGCTAGTCAGGGTCAGGGAGTCCCTGTCTCTCCAGTGGGCAGGAGCACAGAGAAGGAAAAAGAGCCCCTGTGACTAGGAGACAGCAGCCCTTGAAAGAGCCCCAGGGTGCAGAGTGTAGGCAGTGAAGAAGATAGGAAAGTGAGGCAGACTGTCTACTGGGCCTGGGCCCACTCCCAAGCTGCTTCAAGTTCTCACTGCCTTGGGGCCCTGGTGGGAAGCATCTCTCCAGTAGCCAGGGGACCCCTCGGCCTGGCTGGCTGCCTTATCTGCAGTTATAAGCCACCACCTCTCTGCCCAGACTAGAGTGTGAGTGTGCTTGCCCCACAATGAGCCAGTAGCCTGACTTAGGTCCCCAAACAAATCCTGGCCCATGCTGCCTCTCTGGCCGCCCAAACCTGACCTCTCCCAAGCCTTAGCAGCAACAGCTGTCTCTCTAAGCCCAGCCCACGTCCTGGGCACCCATCCTGCCTGGCAGCAGAGGAAGGGGTGTGGAGGTCTAGGGGGAGCGGGCCCCACACAGAGCCTGGTTCCAAGCTAGAGAAGAAAGGAGCCCTCTCGGGCTTCTCTATGTGGGATTGTGCACTGTCAGGCCAGGCCTGGTCCCATGGAGTCACCTATTCACTTACCCTGCAGGCAGAGGCCAGAGTGTCGTGCTAGCTGGCTAGCTGCTGAGATCCCCAGGCTCTCTGCAGTGGGAAGTGCTGAAGGAAGTGAAGCTGGGAGGGTGGTCTTGCTGACACGGCCCAGGAACCACCTACCTGTGGCAATGACTGAAGGAGTGGGACTTTAACTCCCCTCCAAGGACCAGAGGGCTACCAGAGGCTGACCAATTGGACCACTGACCACACCCCCCAGCCTTGGGGTTTTTGTTTGGCGACAACAGAGATTTTTTTTTTTTTCAACAGAGATTGAAGACAACTAATCAACCAGCATCATGTGGTGGAGAACAGCCAAAGGCAGGTTGATTAGAAAGAAGGAGAGGGTGTTTGTTAAAGAAAATACTATAGGTTGGTGTATAGAAAGAAAGCAGGGCTGCTCTTGGTTGTAGGCCTTTGCTGTCTGCAAAGCAAACTGTTTCATTTATATTTCATTTTTTGAAAGTCTCTCAGTCGGCTAGAGATCTGTTTTTTGTTCTTTGCACTGGGCTGGGGATTCAGTCTGGTGGTGCATCACCTACCTGTCCCTTATATTTTATTACAGCCTGATTGTTTTTTTATTTTTTTTGCCATTCTAAATCTCTGAATTTATTTATTTTTTATAGTACAAAATAGTATTAAGACAGAAATATTGCAAGTGGTACAGAATTTCACTTAACAAAATAATATGGATTTCACAGTATGTTGTAATGCAACGTTGTTTTCCAGTTAGTTGTTCATATTACCAGACACATGAATGCAAAATTGGAGGAAAAAAGAAATATATAAAAATTAAGAGAAAAAGACAAACAATTGAAAACAGGAGACAAAACAAATTAAGCATTAATTGCTCCTTTCCATAGACCAGCAGAAATCCACAGTACAGTTGTCCAAACCATCCCTTACATACATAGATGTATCTCTGTTCCCACTTCCTCTCCTGTCCTTCTCAACTCAGTAATTCCTTCCTTTTGAATAGGTTCATTCCCTTTTCCTGGAATCTATTGTACCCTTCAGATTTTACTTTCTCTGTCTGGTTCTCACACTAAGGAGACCATATGAGATTTGCACATGTGAGTCTGATTTATTTCACTTAAGTATGGTCTCTATTTGCATCCATTTACTGATAAAAGCCTCAAATTTAACTTGTTTTATAGCTGAATAATACTCCACTGTATAAAAATACTACATCTTTAGCTATTCCTCAGTTGATATTTCTAAGATTTAGCTATGAAAAATTGAGCTGCTATAAACATGAGTGCACCTATACCACTGTGGTACAATGTTTTCAGTTCTTCTGGGAAAATGCCCAGGAGGGAAATAGCTGGGTTGAATGGGACTGCTAATCTCGGCATTTTTAAATCTCTTAATTTAAACTCAAGGAGGTTTGACCTTACACTTACAGCTGTAATTATCATAGGAATCTTCCTCCACTAAAAAAAATAACAAAATGACAGTACAACCCAGGGAAATTGAAAAGATTCTCAACTTCATTGCTTGAAACAGCAGCTTAGGGGCTGGGGAGAAAGGCTCAGCAGTCTAAGTGCGTGCTTGGCAAGCACAGGGACCTGGGTCTGCTCCCTGGTACCGCACGCCATGCTGGCCACTGAAACTTGGCGTAGCAGCACATGCCTATAACCCCAGAGCTGGGGAGGCTGAGACAAGAGGATCAGTATGAGTCTAAGTTGTGTAGGAGACCCTGTACAAATAAAGATTTTTTAAAAATTAAAAGAAAAAGACAATATATCAGCTTGCACCAGCATCTGCACTTCCTCTCTTTCAGGGCTGGGGTTGTAACTCTTTGGTACAGTACTTGCCCAGCTAGCATATGTGAGGCCCTGCCCTGGATTCAGTTCCTAGCACCCCCACCTCCACTTACAAAAATAATAATAATAATAATAATAATAATAATAATGAGATAAAAGTTTTCTTACAATTTTTTCTGTATAAAAATGAAATTTATTTTTCAGCATGCTGTAGTATACATGAAGGTCTCTTACTCAGCACATTTTTTAATTAATTAATTTATTTATTTATTTTGTGTGTGTGTGGCCAGCTCAGCCCAGCAGGTGCCAGGGCTGGCTGGCATGTGGTGCTGGGGGATTGAACCGCGGTCCCTGTGTTTTACTTAGTTTAGCTTGTTCTAAGTAGGTGCTTTAGACCACTGAGCCATCTCACCAGCCCACTCAGCACATTTTGATGGTTACAATATTAAGTTTTTCCATTTCTCTTTTTGGAGTCAGGGTCTCACTATACAGTTCAGGCTAGCCTTGAACTCTCACTGATCCTCCTGCATCAGCCTCCCGAGTGCCAGGGATACAGGTGTGCATCACCATACCTGGCCTTATTAGTAGTAATTATTATACTTGTTGCTTTTCTTCCTTTCTTTTTTGTGTGTTTCTGAGATAGGGTCTTTCTGTGCAGTTCAGGCTGGGCTTGAGCTCACTTTGTAGCCCAGGCTGGTCTCAAATTCACAACAATCCTCCTGCTTCAATCTCCCATATACTGAGATTACAGGCATGTGCCACCAAGCCTGGCCACTTTTTATTTTCTATTATCTCATTTTCTCATTGCTCACACCATCCCCAGCTTAAAATTACTGCTTTTGGTTTAAAATTACTAGTTGGGAGCTCAGGGATATAGCTCAGCAGCGTAAGTGCCTGCCTGGTAAGTGCAAGGTTCTGGGTTCAATCCCTGGTACCAAAAATAACATAACATAACACAACACAACATAGCGTAGCATAAATTACTAGCTGGACTGTGTAGAAGCAAACTTCAGGATTCTTTGATAAAAGGAGTTATACAAAGTTATACACTAAATGACTTCAGGTTAAACAAAATATTAAAGATCTAACAGAAGAAATCACCACCGTGAAATAAATAAAAGGAGGTTGTTGATCTCCGAAACACGCATGTTCCAGGTGAATAAGTAACATTAATTTCCACCATGCATAGTGCCATCTGTCACCCATACCTGTACATTTAAGAGAAAAATGCTGTGACCTGTTAAAATTCAAGATAAGCAGACAGAGAGCTCGTATGCATCTACTCATGCAGTGCTTCCATGAGCCACTCACTTGACAATGACAGACTCGGAGGGCTTCCTCACAGCACCCCAACACACTGGGGGTATGGTACTTTGTTTTCATGAGAACAGTCCAGTATAAGTACAGATAAATACCAAGAATTGCTGCATGTCCAACAGAAAATTTGAGAACTGCCAAATCATAGAGAGACAGCAGTTTGCATAGGGAAAAATGGAACAATTACTGAAAGGTATTACATGATTTGAAGTTCCTCATTTTTTTCCCTAAGGCAGTGAATTTAAGCTGAATGAAAGGTGTTGTAGAACTAGACAAAAATGTTTTCCCTCCCAGTAAATAAGATCATCCATGTGAGAAGGGAAGCTGAAACTCACCTGGAAACTGCCATGAAGGGAGAACAGCAGAGGCTATCACTTAACAGAAATGTTTTATGAGTAGTTCTGGAATTGGTACCTTTAGAGTCATCCTTTCCCGTCTCTCTATTCTCTAAAGTGAACCTGGCTACCACTTTAAATAATGAGACACAAAGACTCATAGAACAGCCTAATTTCAACAGCTATTTTTTGCCTTATGGGACAGCGTCCTGCTATGTAGCTCATGCTAGCCTTGAACTTGCAGCAATCCTCCTGCCTCAATCTCCCAAGTTCAGAAGCATTTTTTAAAAATTTTGTATTTTTTAAATGTTTTTTTATCATATTATGTAGGGACTTAAAGTTCAACATATCAATACTTGATGAAAAATACCTGTTCCTTATTATGCCTAAGATGTTTGAAATGCAGTGAGATAGTGAGGTTAAGCTTGATAGCCTAAATCGTTTGATAATAACAATAAGCTTGTCTTCTGGATGGTTAACAACCTAAGTTTGCAGACCAAAATTAGAGAAAAAGGAGGGCTACAAGGAAAGCCAACATTTTGGCCCTAGTCTTCTAAGGTCAATTAAGACTCAGGACATATGAGAACCTATACTGTAATGTCATGTACCTCGGTAGTGTCCCAAATTTTCTGATCAAGAAGATTAAGGGGCCAAAGAGGAAAGTGATCGATGATGTAGAGTGTGCCTAAGGAGAGTCACATGGGGAGAAGACATTCTCTCAGGCTTTCACAGAGAGCACATTGGCCAAGCATTGGCCATGACTCATCCACATGGCTGCACTGACAAAGGTTCTACAATCTGAGGTACAGGATCTCAGGATAAATCCTAAGGGCATTTCACTGACCTTCTCAGACCAAAAAGCTACAACTCTTGTTGCATAGGTCCTGCTTTACCTTGGTCTTAACCATCCAGTAGAAAAGTATGAAGACGAAATATAGGAAATAAAGCCATGCTGTTATGTTGAGCTGTGGGGGACTCAGGTCAATAATTTCTGACATTGCCAGTTAAACAGAAGACCCAATGCTATTATGGGCTACTGGACTCTTTTAGAATATTTTGCTGAGTTTACACACCTATAATATTCAATAACGGAACTTAGAAAAAATGGGGTATACCGATGAATGTCCACTTTTATCTGTGTATTCAAAGTGGTTAGTATAGATATATAGTTGCATTCTCTTAATGAATAGAATGATTTGTTCTAATGGTGTTTGTAAATAGGATCTCAAGTCCGCATCTTGTACAGCAATTAACCACTAAGAAGAATATATGCAGTGTATTATTTCTTGAAACAGTACTTCCGATTTGATTTGAAACTGTCTCATTGCTATCTGTTTATCAATAAAATTTTGAAAAAAAATTTTGTATTTTTGGGGCTGGGGAGATGGCTCAGTGGAATAAGTGCTTCCCTGGCAAGCACAAGGACCTAAGTTCAATCCCCAGTTCTGAAAAAAAAAAAAAAAAAAATATTTTATTTTTGTATTTTTAGGGAAGGGTCTACAGAGTGTTCAGGGTCTCACTACTAGATTGGACTTTAGTGATCAGTCTGTTTACAGCCTCCCAAAAGCTGGGATTACAGGCAAGCACCACCACGCCCAGTCTCAA